TGAGGCAAAGGGATCCCTTGACCTCAAGAGTTTGAGGTTACAGTGGTTACATTGTAGTTTGAGCTACAATGACACCACTGTAATCTAGATAGGGTGATAGACCAAGACCCTGTCTCAAAAAGAAAAGAGAGAAAAAAAACTAAATTCAAAATTAGCAAGTGGAAGTAGATAATAAATATTAGAGCATGGATAAATAAAAATAGAAAAATAACAGAAAATGAATAAAATCAAGAGGTGGTTCTTTGAATAGATGAATTAAATTGGTAAGACTTTAGCTAGATTAAGAAAGAAGGAATACTCAAATAAAAACTGGAAATGAAAATGAGGAGGAAATTACAACTGATTTTTTAGAAATTTGTTTTTTAGAACTCTTCTTGAGAATGAAAAGAAATTCTTTGGGAATTCAACAAGACATCTTACTCTGGGGTCCAATTTGTGCTAAACTATGAAAATTGTGGATGGAAGAAGGCTGTACCAAGGAATCTTGAGAGAATCATAAACCATCCCAAGGGGAGACAGAAGATATCACAATAATCTCTAAGTTAAAAATGTAATTGCACCCCTGGAGGGTCTCAACAACACTTGCTTATTTTTCATTCATTGGCACCGTCTTACTGAAATCTCCTCATGAGCTTTATACCCCACTGCGTTCAGCTATTTTTAAGCCAAAGTAGCTAACATATAAAACTGACCTGTTGAGCTTTCACTACTGGAAAAAGTTCTGCAATCATAGGGGTGATGAAGGTCTCTTATGTAACCCTTGATGAAAATACTAACCTGCCAACTGAAGGCCACAGGTCAAGGACCAATTTTAGAATTGTATTTCTTTGTGCTGGCTGTTAACATTGCCTGACAGATAATACCCTGTGTCTCCATTTCTTCTGAGCATTTCAGGAAAAGAAAAAAAGGAAGATTCAAAGGTTACCTTTGTATATCCTGGGATTCTTAAGAGTCAGGCCCTGGGTTTTGATTCCATCCAAAGAAAAGAGAGATATCAATGAAAAGATGTTTATTCTGAGGTCTGTCCGCACATAGCCCTATCATGAAGGGTAAGTAATTTTTCTCCCTGCCTAGGCTACATTTGATTTTTTTCAAAGACATCTACACATGGATGCTAGCTCCAGTAGAGTGCCGTTGTAATACTAATTAATACACTTTGCCAATTTTATGGGTTTCCTGATATGTGATTTCATCCACAGCACCTCTGGTATTATAACAAATTACATTATAATGAACTGTTGACGCCAGTGCCCAGCTACCCAAATCTCCCTCAGCTTAATGCTTCCTTAACTTCTTTGCCTAATGATTCACGAAGCAATGCCTCATTATTCAGAAATTATACAAATTCTATAATTTGGTATTAGAAGACTATTTGATGTTGTGTTTTGTTTTTGGTTTTGTTTTGGGGGGGTTTTGTGGAGACAGAGTCTCACTCTGTCTCCCTTAGTAGAGTGCTATGGCGTCATAGCTCACAGCAACCTCAAACTCCTGGGCTCAAGCAATTGTCTTGCTCAAGTAGCTGGGACTACAGGTGCCCACCACAACGCCTGGCTATTTTTACAGATGGGGTTTCACTTTGGCTCAGGCTGGTCTCAAACCTGTGAGCTCAGGCAATCCACCCACCTCGGCCTCCCAAGTGCCATGTTGTATTTAATAATGCACTTTCTAAAACTCCTACAATTAAATATAACTTACTCCTACTACTGCTATGCATATCCCAGGTTATAGAATACCCTTCCTTTAATCATTTATTTTAATTATTAATACTACTGTATTTTTATATCTCTTTCTTTATATCAGACCAAGATTTATGTTTCTAAATGCCAGGCTATATAAGGTCAGTAAAATAAATCTGAGTGGTTGCTTTGCCAGGTTCTACAGTGGAACTGAGTGATGTTTTAAACTAGTGTTTGGGGTTCAGTTAAATTCATTGTTCTTCACTAGGTTTTTAACTTATTATGCTGAAAACATTATCCTCGTTACTTTGTAATTATATTTATTGGTAGGATTCTTATGACCAATAGCAGCTATCAGTTTTTTCAGGCCCTGGTATATTCCAGGAACCGTAACAGACACTGGAATACCCACTAGGCAACTGTACTCCAACACTGTCTGCACAAGAGCTCTGCAACATAGGTGTTAACTCAAGGGCACACAGCATGGAGTACCGTATTTGAACCCAAATCAGTGTGACCTTATTTGCATTTTCCTTCAAGTATGTGATATACTTAATCAAGTAGGTAAATTACTAGACTGAACCAATCAGTCATGAATCTAATCCCGCGGTAGTAGGACACAGCATAGATTGCTAGAGTGGATGTTCTCTTCCCTCCTCACCAAACCATGTACTTTCCTCCTAAAATTATATTCCCAGTTCTTCCTGAGGAACAGCTCATTCTTCTTTTTAGTTTGTATGTGTGGCTGTTTCACTTCACTGTGGGACTATCCAACTTTATGTCATAACATCCAGTCTTTACAATTATCTTATGATAATTATCTATCTGTGCTTTTGACAAACTTTGGAAAAGGTTATCCATCACAAACTGGGGTTTGGGGGGTGGGTTTGGTTGTTTTTGTTTTTGTTTTTGTTTTGTTTGAGATAGAGTCTCACTCTGTCACCCTCAGTATGGTGCCCTAGCATCATACCTCACAGCAACCTCTAACTCCTGGACTCAAGTGATCCTTTTAACTCAGCCTCCCCAGCAGCTGGGACTACAGGAGCCCACCACAACATCCTGCTAGTTTTTCTATTTTTAGTTTAGACAGGGTTCACTCTGGCTTGGTCTGGTCTGGAACTCCTGAACTCAAGCAATCATTCATCTCAGCCTCCCAGAGTGCTGGGATTACAGACATGAGCCACTGCGCCTGGCCCATGAACTGGGTTTTAAAAAAGAAAAAGAAAGCATTTAGAAAAAGAATCTTTTAAGAAGGGAAATCAACAGAATTTGATGACTGGTTCATATGGGAGGTCACATAATTAGAAAATACCTCAAATAATTGTTACATTTTTGGCTTTAGCAAATGCTAAATGCATTGGTAAATGGAGTGTGGAGCTATTCACCAAGAAGTACAAAGGAGGAGCCCTTACAAAGAAAAAGATGGAATAAAGAGAAATACTAAGTAAAATGGTGATTATAGATTTGAAAATATAAATGGCTGGCGAGCTTCTGTTTAGAGTTGATGCTTAAAACTGACGGAAGGTGGAATTGATTAGTGGATCACAAGATTGAAATGTGACCTTTCAAATGTGACCAAACTTGTAAATTTGGTCAGTTACCCAAGACTCTACCAAATAATGTTCAGATTGTGGAGTCATTGGTGGTGATGGTTATAAAGTCAATAAATTATCTTTTTTGGTGACAGAATTGGAAAATCTGAAATTCATTCAACCATTAATTATTTCCAGTGTCTACCGTGCCTGAGAAACTGAATCATCTGAGAAAAGAAAGATGAACATCATTTATGAATTATAACATTTTTTAATCTAGAGGGCAATGCAAACATATGATTGGTCCTTATGGCATGTGCTCTAATAGAAAAATGTATAACATGCTATGAAAACATGAAGCAGGGAATTTATCTTATATGTAATAGAGTTTTGCCTTGCTGATGTCAGTATATGATAGGTATCAAAAGGATATCTAAAATCCACATTATCAAAGAACCATGACACTCTACATTGACTAGTCTAATTATTAAACTTTGCAAGTCATTGTAAGTTCATTTTATGGGTCAAATGTACTAAAATATGTGTTCAAGAATGTTAATTACAGTGGTGATTATAATATAAAACTGATAACAATCTAAATCTATCACTAGGGAGTGGATTAAATCTATACAATAGAAGACAACAGAGCCATTGTGTTGATGATATAAAGCTATACTTTTGACATGGAAAAAAACTAAAATATATTAAGTTAAAAAAATAATGTGTTCTAAAAAATTCCATTTTAATTTTTAAGGAAAAGAAGAATGTAATTCTAAGTGCTAAAACTTGTTTTTTCTGGGAGGTGGGATTATTTTTATTTTTTCTTTGTCTTTGCCTATTTTTTTAATGTTCTTAATTATAAAAATTCTTTTTTGGTAAAGTAAATTTTAAACACTGCAGCATTAATAAAGTTAAATATCAAAATATAAGCATTTTAGATTATTTGAAATGTACTGAACAACTTAATGTTAATAAACATTCTTGTCTTTGGAGAAGGCTTCCTGAATATTCTTCATATATAGATTTTATATATTACTAAAATGAAAGAAAAGAAATATTATCTGTGATCAGCAAGAATTGGCCTTTATCAACATTTAGAGCTATGTTTGCTTGATTATTTGTCTGTTTAACTTTATTTTTTTATTTTTAATTTTCAGGGATACATACTAGAGTATCTGAGAAGTACATCAAGTACTTTCCACTTGGAAAGAAATGCCAGTAGAAAAATTAATTATTTTACTCCTAATTTTTGGTTAAAAAATTAACTTATATTAAAAGGCTGTTCTGTTAGAAATAATTGACTATGGACAGAAAAAAGAAGTACAGGGCGGCACCTGTGGCTCAAAGGAGGAGTAGGGCGCCAGTCCCATATGCCCCTGCCAAAAAAAAACTGCAAAAAAAAAGACAAAGAAAAAGAAAAAGAAATACAAACCGGTAAACATTTTGTTCCCTTTCAAAGAGTGTAATGTTTCTAAACTTTCAGATTTTCAAAGGGAAGAGAGAATTTTCTTTAAATCTAATCCACTGATAAAAACAAAATCTAACCCAGTGATAAAGAATACCCAAATAATGTAAAGATTGTATCACTATAGACATATTTTGATAAAATTTGGGATCACCAGGATTGTTGATTGGTGGCTTTTAACTAAAAGCAAGGAGTCAATGGATGGGTTACTGCAAATTAATTGCCAAAGAGCCAACATATATAGCTTGCATATGTTTCCTACAAGTTCCTCGGGAAACAAAACAACTTGTGTAAATGTTTTCTGTCTTCTCTGCAGCCCTGGGATTCATGAACAGCACAGAGACTAGCACTGTGACCGAGTTTGTCCTCCTTGGCTTTCCTGGTTGTCAGGAGCTGCAAAGCTTCCTCTTCTCATTGTTCTTTGGACTCTATGTATTTACCGTGGTGGCAAATGGGACCATTGTCTGTGCTGTGAGGTTGGACAAACGGCTCCATACCCCAATGTATATTCTCCTAGAGAACTTCGCTTTTCTTGAAATCTGGTACACTACCTCCACTGTGCCTAATATGCTAGTCAATTTTCTCTCAGAGACAAAAACCATCTCTTTTGTTGGCTGTTTCCTCCAGTTCTATTTTTTTACTTCCCTTGGTACAATTGAAACATATATGCTCTGCATCATGGCATATGATAGGTACCTTGCTATCTGCCGCCCATTGCACTACCCAACCATCATGACCCCACAACTCTGCTATATCTTGATGACTCTTTGCTGGGTGCTTGGGTTTCTGAGTTACGCTGTCTCCACCGTGCAACTCTCTCAACTGCCTTTTTGTGGGCCCAACATCATCGATCACTTTGTATGTGACATGGACCCACTGGTGGCTCTGTCTTGTGCCCCAGCTCCTATCGCTGAGAACATCTTCTATATTGTGAGCTCCCTTATTATCATCTTCACTGGTCTGTACATCTTCGGTTCCTATATTCTTTTGTTGATCGCTGTGTTCAAAGTCCCATCAGCAGCTGGCCGTCAGAAGGCCTTTTCCACCTGCGGATCTCACCTGACAGTGGTGTGTTTATTCTTTGGGCCCCTCTTGGCAATGTATGTGAGCCCCACCGCTGATAACCCAGCTACATTTCAGAAGATTATGACTTTGTTCTTTTCCGTGGTGACTCCCTTCTTGAACCCCCTAATTTACAGCTTACGAAACAAGGACATGAAGGCTGCATTGAAGAAAGTCCTGAGGATAGAGTGAGCACTGAGTAATTGAGGTGAGACCAAGAAAACCATTGTCCCAACATGAAAGACTAATCAAGACTTGATTTTCTGCTGCTACGTCTCCAACATACTTTGAAGAAGAGGGGCCTCATTTTATTCCTCAACTAACGTGGCAGAACTAACCACTATTGATTCATATTATGTATTCCATGTGTAACAACCACATTTTTAACAAGGGTGACTCCAGTAGGTAAGATATGAGGGCATTTTATCTGTGCTATTGCATAGTGTATAGTTGTGAGTATTGCCTGGGGATGGAATAGAAGGTAAAAGAGCAGTTATCAGAGGTGAATTACTGTTGGTATATGTATGGCATTTCTTAACACAGTTCAATAATTTATAAAGGAAATAGAGAAGGAAATCTAAATGCTTGATACATGCAGAACTAAAAGATTTAATAACTGAACCATTTTCTTGCCCTCTTGGCTCTGGACGGTTTAAAGTTTTCCAGACTTGGTACAGACTAAAGGTTTCATGTTTATATAATAAATCTATATGTGTGTGGGGTTTGTGTGTGTGTGTATGTTTTTATAGACAAAGTCTCACTTTATCACCCTCGGTAGAGTGCTATGGCGTCACAGCTCACAGCAACTTCCAACTCCTGGGCTTAGACGATTCTCTTGCCTCCGCCTCCCAAGTAGCTGGGACTACAGGTGCCCATCACAACGGTCCAGCTATTTTTTTGTTGCAGTTTGCCCGGGGCCAGGTTTGAACCCGCCACCCTTGGTATATGGGGCCGGCACCCTACCCACTGAGCCACAGGCATCACCTATATGTCTGTTTTAACATCACATAAAATAGTAGCAGTTCTTTTATTCAATAAATATTGAGTACCCACCATCTTCTTAGCACTCTTCTAGGCATTAGAGATATGCTATGACCAAAATGGTCAAAACCAACACACAGAATTTACAGGGGAGAGACAGACAATTAAAACATAAGTAAAATCTAGAGCATATCAGAGTCATAAGTGCTATGCAGAAAGGGCAAAGAGGACAGGAAAGGGAGGAGAAAGAGCTGATGTGTTAAATAAGGTGACCAGGGAAGACTACACTGAGAAGGCAATATTTAAGCAAAAGCTTCAAAAAGATGAGGAAATGTGCCTTGTAGACAGCTGAGCAGAGGAACGTATAGATACCCAAATGAATTGAAGGAAGCAAGATCTCCACAAGATGCTGAGGCAGGGTTGTGTCCAAGTAATAGCAAGGGCATCGATGTAGCTGGAGAAGAGAGAGGCAGAGGAAGAGTGTTGGAGATGAAGTCAGAAAGTGGATAGGGTTCCAAATTGTGTGGGAACTTGTAAACCTTAATAAAAATCATTTTTTAAATTATAACTTGACAGATTATAGTTTCATATATTTATAGGGTACAAAGTGATGGTATGATTTATGAATATAATGTGGAATAATTACATCAAGCTAAATAACATACCCATCACTTCAAATACTTATTTTTGGTGGTGATAACCTTTAAATTTTATCCTCTTAGCTATTTTGAAATGTGCAATAACATTATTATTTACTATATTCACTACATTGTGCAATATATCTCTCAGGAAAAAACACACTTACGCCTCCTGTCTTAGGCTTGTGTAACGCTGTGACCATCATCTATCTCCTCATCCCTGACCCCCAGCCTTTGGTAACCACCACGCTACTCTCCTGCTTATTTGAGTTTCCACATATATGTGAAAATATGCAATATTTGTCTTTTAAGTTTTCTAAGGAACTTCTATACAGTTTTCCATGATGACTGTACTAACTCACATTCTCACCAAAGGGTTGCCTTTTCTTCACATACTCACCAACACTTACTATATTTTGTCTTTTTGATCATAGCCATTCAGACAAGTGCAAAGTTATATCTCATTGTGGTTTTAATTTGTATTTCCTTGATGATTTAGTGCTATCGAACATTTTTTATATATCTCTTGGCCATTTGTATGTCTTTATTTTTTTTTTTAACAAGATCTTATTCTGTTGCCCAGGCTAGTCTAGAGCACAGTGGCATCGTCATAGCTCACTGCCACCTTAAACTCCTAGGCTCAAGTGACCCTCCCACCTTGGTTTCCCAGAGTGTTAGGATTACAGGCATGAGCCACGGCAACCTTGCCTAGTTTTGTTTTTCTTTTAATTTCAGATCAGTATTGGGCTACAAATGATTAGATTACATTGTTTGCGTTTCTTAGGTAAAGTTCAAGTTGTAGGTGAGCCCTTTACCAAGGGGATGTGTTGTATACCCTTACATTGTGAACTTTAGGTGGGCGCTTACCAATCTCCCTCCCTTTTCCCCTCTCCCTCCTCCCTTCTACCCCCCATTTGAAATTAACTATGTTTTTCTCTAATGTGGGTGTGTGGTTGTTTATCTATTGGTTTCATATTAGTATTGAGTACATTGGTTACTTGCTTTTCCATTCTTGTGATACTTTACTAAGAAGAAGGTTCTTCAACTCCATCCAAGTAAATACAAAAGATGTAAAGTCTTGAATAAATAAATAAATAAGATGTAAAGTCTCCATCTTTTTTATGGCTGAATTATATTCCATGGTAATCCATTCTTGGGTTGATATCACATTTTGGCAATTGTGAATTGAGCGGCAATAAATTGTTGAGTTTCTTATATTTTGGAGATTAACACCTTATAAGTTGTATGGCTTTTAAATATTTTCTCCCAGTTCATAGGTTGTGGTTTCACTCTGCCAATTGTTTCTTTTTGGCTGGGGCTGAGTTTGAACTTGCCACCTCCAGTATATGGGGCCGGTGCCCTACTCCTTGAGCCACAGGCACCACCCCAGAAGTTTTTAAGTTTGATGTAATTCCATTTGTCTACTTTTCCTTTTGTTGCCTGAGCTTTGGGATCATATCTAAAACTTATTCTCCCAACAAATGTCATGTAGTTTTTCCCCTGTTTTTTCCTACCACTTTTATAGTTTTAGATCTTATGTCTAAATCTTTAATCCATTGTGAGTCAATTTTTGTATGGAATATGATAGGGCCTTGTTTCATTCTTCTGCATATGAAAATCCAGTTTTCTCAACACCATTGGTCAAAAAGATTGTCCTTTTCCCAATGTATAATCTTAGCATCATTGTAAAAAATTAATTGACCTTACATGCATGGGTTTATTTCTGGGCTCTCTTTTCTGTTCTGCTGGTCAACTAGTCTATTTTTATGATAGTACCATGCTTTTTTTAAATTACTGTTGCTTTGTAGTAGAGTTTAAAATCACGTCATATGATGCTTTAGCTTTGTTCTTTTTGCTGTTCAGGGCTTCCTATGGTTTCATGTAAATTTTAGTACTGTTTTTCTACTTTGGAGAATTTTTTAATGAAAATTAAATTAAATCTGTAATCACTTTGGGTAGTATGAGTATTTTAGCAATATGAATTCTTTTAATCCTCATGTAATATCTGTCCATTTATTTGTGTCTTCTTCAATTTCTTTTATTAATATTTTATAGTTAATTCTTCATGAAATGGGAAGCCTTTGGAGGGTTTCATGTAAATACATTATCAAAGGGCCATTCCCCTAACTTTTGTTCTTTATAATAGATTAGAGAGGCATGGGCATTTAAAAATTCCTGTTTTAAGCCAGACGCAGTGGCTTGTGCCTATAATTCTAACACTCTGGGAGGCTGAGGCAGGTGGATCACTTGAGCTCACGAGTTAAAGACCAGGCTGAGCAAAAGTGAGACCCTTGTCTCTACTAAAAATAGAAAAACTGAGGCAAGAGGATCACTTGAGCCCAATTTGGAAGTTGCTGTGTGCTATGACTCCACAGCACTCTACCCAAGGTGACAGCTTGAGACTCTGCCTCAAATAAATAAATAAATAAATAAAAACTCTTATTCCTAGTTGTCAAATTAAAAAAAAAGTTTTTTTCTTTTAAAAGAATTTGTATCTATAACCTGTCCCTGAGGAAATATATTTATGGAGAAGAAAACATCCAGGGAGCTCTGTTGTCCCACGGGAATAGAAAATCCTCTTAGGGTGGCTCCCATAGCCCAGTGGTTACAGCGCCAGCTACATACACCTGGGCTGGCAGGTTCAAACCCAGCCCAGGCCTACTAACCATCAATGACAACTGCAACCAAAAAATAGCCAGGTATTGTGGTAGGCGCCTGTAGTCCCAGCTACTCAGGAGACTGAGGCAAGAGAATCTCTTAAGCCCAAGAGTTGGAGTTTTCTGTGAATGGTGATGCCACAGCACTCTACCGAGGGCAACATAGTGAGACAGAGTCTCACAAGAAAACACTTGACCTGAGACCCAAAAAAAAGAAAGAAAGAAAGTCCTCTTAGACCACAGGTTCTCAACCTTCCTAATGCCATGACCCTTCAATACAGTTTCTCATGTTGTGGTGACCCCCAACCATAAAATTATTTTCATTGCTACTTCATAACTGTAATTTTGCTACTGTTATATATTGTAATGTAAATATCTGATATGCAGGATGCTCTTAGGCGACCCCTGTGAAGGGTTGTTCAACCCCCAAAGGGGTGGCAACCCACAGGTGAGAACCGCTGTCTTAGACCCAAAATGAAAACTCTAATTCTATAATGTTTCCATGACAATATTAAGTAATAGTGGAAAGCTAGAAATCTACCTGAGGCTCATGAACTACATTTAAGCATTATTAAAACTATATAGACACTTACAAATGTTTTAATATTCATTATCTCACTTTATCCTTATATCAGGTACACAAGGAAGGTGAATATGTATTTAATATTTCAAGAAACTGGAGCTCACTAAACTCTTATAGCTCATGAGAGAAAACACTTGACCTGAGACCCAGATTTTCTGTATCATAGTTTTCTACTAACCCACCATTTTCACTTTAAATCCAACTCAACTCCCACCCAGTGCTCCCTTTTTAACCCAGATCTTTTCCTTTCATATGATGTCCTGAATAACCTTCCCCACTTCTCCCTACCTATCCCAGACCTCCCGATGTGTAAATCTAAACCTGCTTTTCTATATACTAATTCTTAGT